ATCGTGATTCTATCATATATAATTGTAAACCGAAATTAAAGATCGCGTCCTAAGAACGAACGCTCTTTGAAAAACATTTAAAAACTCATACTAAGAAATTCTTAGATATAAAACAAATTTGAGAGAGTTAATTTTTCTCAGGGAAATTGAATATTCTCGGAGAACAATCACACAATTTGCATAAGCTCCGACTGTGTTGGCGCGTCCATGTTATTATCTTGATTTATAACTTTTGCAATAATGAGATTTCCCTAAACTCTGTAATTGTTTTACTATTCCCTCCGTATAATCGCTTTCCACATTCAAATCTTGTGTAGTTTGAGTTTTATAACAAATTGTACGATATCTCATTACGTCGTAGGTTATTTTAATCCGTTTCATGACCGGTTTTGAAATGTGATTTTGCTATGTGATTATAGTAGTTGACATACATACAATTTACAGAGAATTTATCAAATTCTAAACCAACATTAAAATAAATAGTTAAAGAACAACACATCATCATATCTCCAAGGCCCTATCCCTTATTTTATCTCTTATTGATAGTAAACCATTTTATCTTTGACTAAATAATTATAAGCAAGGCTGAATTTGTCTTTGATTTCATATACTACGGAGCGAGTTAGTATAGAAAAAACTGTAACATATGTCTAGTGTTAACATTGTTTTCATGTCCATGATTTCATCTGGCCTTCATCTTAAAGTCCCAGTAGTTGAAACAACTAATGGCGTAAATGTCGTGCCTTAAACATCGATTGAGTTTGTACGAGTCAGTTATAGTCCTCTACTAACTCCAGTAGGCATATTCATTCTGCATTTGTTCTGGCTATACATTTTCAATATTTGTAGATCTTTTTAATTTTAATGTTTTAATGGCGCATCATAGTGCATTTTAAGGATGATAAAAGGACGATCTTACATTAAAGCCCACCCAATAGATAGTCTACTGCCTCAAATATAAAGGGTTCAAATCCAGCCAATGTGAGAACGCTATAACCCTCTGGAATAAAAGTATTGTCTAAAATGGTTCCATGTTACAGACTAGCGTGAATGCAGGCCATAAACACCATTCACATCATGTTAGAATTACTTTAGCCGAGGCCAAGTACAATAGATGACACTTAGAAGAGAATGTACAAAGAAAGTTATTGGAAAGTGGACTAAAAGAAAAATGAAATACACCATTTTATAAATTTTCACTGAGCACAATGTTATTTATCACTACAATACTATCAAAGTGATCAAATTACCATGAACATCATCGTGACTCTATTAAAGGATTTTCTTTCGCTACGCATGTTTATTGATGTAATCATAGCATAAACATCACTATGAATAAATCTAGACATTTCATTTACATTTTATAGCTATTTTATAGTTTGAAAATAAAAATAGAGATGATTTAAGTGAGCTAATGAAAATTACTGATTTCTGTGGAATATTCATGATCAACAATGAAAAGCTGGTCAGAATACTCTTTGTAAATTATGAAATCTTTTATGACACATCAAATATCTCAGTAAAAATTTAAACAGGAATAATATTAGTTTAAGACTCTCAGTGTTTTATCCAACTATGATATTTCCATGAACCAATGAACATTAGAACAGATGTGGTAAGTTATGGGTCATAAACATATACAAATTATATCACTGGCCCTAATGCCTATACTTTTAGCTGTAATAGATGGTTTGCCAGTTCCATTTAAATTCTAACATTCATGTTTACTTTTGGGCCAGTGACATAGTTTGATAATAATCCATACAGTTTCTGTTGTAATATTTTTGGCTAATCACAGCCAATCTATGCAGATGATGTGAATTCTAAGTATTCAAAAGCCAAAATGAACACGATTGTCCCATTTATATCGGGCGAGTAGATGAGAAAAAAGTGTGGTTGAAGAAAGAGGAAGAAAAACTACAATGACGAGGGCTGGGAAGATATGAGCTTTGATGATGTGATAAATGAGGTACATTTATTCCCGGTGTCCTGCAGCTCGCTACTGCCTTACAAAGCACATTCTATCTTTATTACAGGAGGGAGAAAATCTTCTTGGGAAAGTTAATGGTTGAGTATTAAAATACAACTTATAATTTTCAATTATATTATTGACGTGTTTTTAGTAATCTGTTTAGATCACCCTTAAAACCCTACATAGACTTATTGTGTTGGTTTAGTTTTGATTGTAAGCAGTTATACGTTTTTTTATTGTATAAGTTGAAAGTTTGAAGTATATTGAAATAGTTTTGACGATCTTTTAATTTCCTTTTATGTATGACGCAATCAGACTATTTAAACGAAAACAATTTTATTGCAGTTTTATTTGAAATCATTAAACAAAGACTCACATTATAAATGTAGATCTAATTTTAAAAGTAATAGTAAATAGAGTTGTCGTTTAAGATTACTTGTGTCAATAAATATTTTGTAAATGGTAATCTCCTAAATATTATAAAATGGCAATGGAAATAACCTAATCTTAACCTACTATAGACATTGGGATAACAGAAAATAACAATAGTTATGAAATAACAATATTTTATTCAAAAACCTTTGTATTGTAATGGTATTGGTCAAAACAATTACAAGCAAAACAAATTACTTAAATCTTAACTCGAACCGATGCCCTCTTACCCACACTATGCTGAAAGTTTAATTTCTAATTATTACTATTTTTTACCTATGCTGTTATGTTCTTTACGCCATACTACACTGTTTTAACGAACTTCCCACGCAAGTAATTAGTCCAGAAAACAGCTGTTTGCCGCCAGCTTAATCAAATGGGGTTTCATTGTTTACTACTGTACTGTAATAAGTTTTACCGGACACCATTCATCTGATTATACTATATTTGGGTGGCAATGAGTGGTTGTTAACAAAAACATAACCTCTCGCGTAGGGGTTATGACTAGTGATTGTTAGTCCTTTAGTTAGTGGTAATATATAAGGATTTGTACAGATTTAGTAGTATGGCGTAAACTATCGTACGTAACTCGTCCAAAATGTGTTTACCTAATTTTCAGGATTAGTAACGTAATATACTATTGTATGTAAAACTAGTTTATAAAAAATACTACATAACATACAATTAAAACTAAACGAATACATATGGTGTGACGATAATATTCGGTGGTACATCTTTTGTTCAGGTCTAGTAAGTATTATATTTGATTGGTAAACTTTATATTTGATCAAACATTAAAATGTTGATTTTTGTGTGTAGTTTAGTAAACTTAAAGACCCATGGATCCGAGGGCAACGGTTATCAATGCTCAAGAAGGTTTGGGTGTTGGGGTTTATTTACATCTTAACATTTAGAATTTGTTACCAGTTGCTCAAGTTTCAGAGCTTAGACTGCCATAACGTCTCACTTCAAAAGTAATTAAAAACACTAATTATATTCTGTATATGATGCTACTTGATTAACTGAAAGTAGTATAAATGAATCTCCTCTTATTCTAATTGCTTAAATTTAACTCATTTTCAAACAGTGAACAAATGAAACCAATTATTTCGGTATGTAATTTAGGTAAAACAAATTTTCATCCATTTTGATATATCATATACTGAAACTTAACCAACAAAATCATTGAACTTTTTGGCTACTTAAGCATCTGAAAACCATTTGCAATCCTTCGCCTTAGCCTATGGAGGAGGGGCGGTTATTAGAAGGAAGACAGTCGATGAAAGGTGGATGACGTAAAAACAGAGCACATACAATCAACAACAATGTAATGTTCAAAAACACCGGCCGTGTTACGATAACTTAGTTTAACCATCTCTATAAGATTATATTACAGCCTAGTGACAGTAAACACTTTAACGAGTAAATCTGTACAGTAAAAATATCAACGACTATGTACAAATATCTAGTTATAAATACATAAGGGTATAAGGACCACGTTGACAGTTTAAGTTGGCAAATAAATTTGGCACATATTGTCACACGTTGAGTTCATTGGCACTAGCTAAATTAAAATTGCTGAGGCTTTTAAACCGTTTGTAAAGTGTTTATATAGACATTTAAAATGTACATTTGTATTAAATCTCTTATAAAATTTACAATACCTATCGAGAAACATTTTTACACATTTGTTCACATTTTTCCTAACTATAATTTAAACATCACATTATAATTAGTAATTAGAATATAATTGAGTATATGTGTGTTTTCCCATTAATACATCTACGACGCAAAAAATGTTTTTGTCCTAACTGAGCAAAATTGAAATAAGTTTTTCAGTCAAAAGTATTTTACGTACAAGCTTTTGAAAGTATTTCTTTGTTTAATATGTTTATTTACCCTGCAACTTTTGAATAAAAAAAGTACAAAAAACCTCTCTAGTCGTTTTACGAACCATAAACTAGGTGTGGAAAGACTCAGACTAAATAAATAACCCATATTGTTATTTTACTTCGTCGTCATATATGTTAAATAAAAGTAGTTAATAAAAAAATAAACTGTGTATTTTGAACAGTAATGTTGTAATGCCCTTTCTTTTTAAGACCCCTTCATAGTATTTACAATACGCCTTTTTTTATAAATACACACAAGATGATATATTTACATATTTGCATGCCTTTGAAATTAACATCCCAGGTGAAGTTGATAATCTTTCAATGTCTAAACTGTTTGCAAAAGATGAAGTAATCCCATGGAGTTTACGGAAAACGTTCGTTTCAAAATATTGAATACGTATCATTAAGCTTTTGAGAATCTTATATTTCCATAACATAAAGTGTTAACAAAAAAAGATAAAACATGTAGAACATAATAAATTATAGATTTAAATTACTTTTCGGTGTTAATTGAAATACTTAAGATTTTATTTTGTGTAGTAGTTTTAACATTAAAATCAAAAATATTAATAAAAAATTAAACCAGATATTTTATTTATAAATTATTAAAAAAATATTGTTATTATTTTAATTTAAAATATCAATCTTGATAGTTTTTTTTATATAGTATAAAAAATTATGTAATTGTTAGAGATCACATTTATTTCAGTAGTTAGTATTTTGTGTAAAATCTTTAAAATGTTAAGAATTAAAAGATCTATGAACAATGTACTAGTTTCAAAAAGAGAAGACATTACTTTTGATTTCTGTGTTAGATAAACATGTTTTGATTTAAATTACCCTTGGAAAATTCTACAACCTGAGAATGAATTGCAATGTATATAATTTTAAGTTTTCCATGATTAACCCTCGTTACATAAACGCTATAGTAATAAATAAATATATCTTTCTCAGTTACTCTTTTAATCCTATTGCAATCAATATGACATATCTTTTCAGTGTTACAGCCTTTTTCAAATCCTTTACACAAAATCATCTTATAACTTTAAGTCTTTGCAGAAGAGTCATTACTTTCAATTTCGTCAATTTAAGCCCAAAAAACTTGGACACATTTCTAATTCATGGCTTAAGATGACGTTTTGTGATCATGTAAATTTCTTTTACTAAAAGCACCTAGTAGCACCATAGATTGTTCAGCAATTCTTGGAACCTAAACCTTAAACCATATTAAGAGAAAATTGCAAACAAAATATTTTTAAGATAATGTATTGGTGCTTCCAATAAGTAATAAATAATAAGTTGCATGTTTAATGCATTCGATGATCCTATTTAAAAGTATAGGGATAAGTTTCATTGTATTGTTTCTATGATAATTTATTTTGATAATTATTGGCATGATTAACAAATAAAAAAATGTATTACGTTATAAGAAAATGCTACATACACTCTAAAACTATTCTAAGTTTGTTCCAAGTTTTGGAGAAAAACTTAATTAGTTACCGACACAAAAAAACAATATTATTATCTCCATGATTAATAAATACAGAAAATGATTTTTTAAGAACGAAAGTTGAATGGCAACTTTCTAAACCAGGTAGTTAAAGATTTATTCAGTAATTTTCATCGTAATTGTTATATTTCCCAATTTTTTCGACTTTGGATTTACTTTTGTACCTTGTAAAAGTTCTATTGCCTCTTTTTAGGCAAAAATTAATATTTCTTCACAAACACATAAAAAATGTTTATGAAATAAACGAAATGAAACAGTTAGCTAGTTTGGTACATTGATTGCAACAGAAGACTACGGAGTCCGTGTCTATGTACAGTATTATACACTAGTGCAGGAGCTTGGGCGTCCCTAGCACCTACATCAGACCTGGGTGTGTGTGTTGCTGTGCAATTGGTCGCCATCTTGTTGGTTTATCTGGTTGGCTGGTGAGTAGTATTGAAACAGGTTGTCTCTTTTCTGGGAACATAAAAAAAACTTGTAAGGATACCTTACAAAAAAAAAAAAATCTATCATACCTGTTAAATTTGATTAAAATTGTTATTAATGTAGAGAAGTTGGACTTTTATCACACATATTTTTAGTGTGAGGAAAAGCTTTACCTAAAGGTTTCCTTTTTTCATAGGTACAATATTCATTTCCGAATCATTATGATTTTGGATTCCATTTTGAATTTGAATGGTGGCTCTGAGACAGAAATTCAACATTAATAGCAATAAAATGTCACTTAAAACCTGGAGTATACAACCCTTATGTTTGAGCTGCAAAAAAGTTCATTTTCAATAAAAAAAACTTGAAAATTTAAATATAACAGTAAAAATAAAATAATATTCATTTGAAAGAACGTATTATAGCAATGAATAATTTCAGTGAGTATATGCATATTTTAATCAATTGGTTCACTACTCTTACTAGAGTAACACTAAAATAGAGATTGACTTACCCTGCCATTGTCAAACTCTCTCCCTCCTATAGTTAACCTGGCTTTAGCTTTCATGGCATCCGATAAGGGAATCTAAAAATGAAATTATAAAAGGATTAAATACTTATAGCAATACAATCATACCTGAAATTGTAATACAATTCAGAAATCTAGAATAAAGTTAATTTGGACATTCAGTATACAGTATTCTTAGCAATTTTTATGAATATACTCACTTTCTCTTAAACTTCATAAATTTATAGTAAAGGTTTTCTACTTTACGGATATAAAGTGATCAAAATCATCAAGAAATTTAGTTTTTATTGTAAATAAATCTAACAAAAAAATTCTGAAGTGAATTAATTCATCAATAATCATCGGTTAGAAAATAATTATTGTCACACTACTTTGCACCTACAATCTTATAGATAAACAACCTCTAGAAAATATATTTTAAAAGTATTATTTTAATGTAAATAGTGTAGTGAAACTAAATAAAAACACTCGGAAAACATGCAGTACCATACAAAAATATTTTAGTATTATTAAGTAAGCTTGGAAATACATGTTTAATCAAAACCTAAACTTTATACGGATGTTATGATTGATTAGACTAATGTTGGATGTATACTATGTATTTGAAGTAGCACAAGTGCTTTTACAAGTTATCAATTAATTGTACCTATTGCGTATTTACCTTAGCTCTGGTCGCCTCGTTGTGAGATTTGTAGCAGAACTCAATGAGGGCCACACCCATGGCTAGGATGAGGCCCCCTATCAGGATATAGAATATACCCGCAACGTTACTCAGAGATAGCTCGTTCCTGGAGGCATCCTGTGGGAGAAAAATGGCTTTGTAGGTTATATAAAATGTTAAATAGATAGTTAAATGTAAAAATTACTCATCATACATGCATAATGTTACATGTTTAAGATATTAACAACTTTTTTTGTCAAATATTTTAATTTTAGTATTTAGTAATCAGAGACTCAATGTGGAGAGACTAAAATGGAGAATTTTTAGCTGGAAACAATTACTTCCAGTGATAAAAAAATAAGCCTGTGCACCAACCAAGAAATAGAAGAACACATTTTTTTTTTAAATTTGTAGGTAAATTTGTTCAGGTAATCCTTAGCTTAATATTAGGCAAAACGTTACAATTATAATTTACATTTTGTTTTTCCCTTTAAAAATTTAAGCACCAATAGAACAATCAAAAAGTTATCGAAATTTATGCTCTTAAATGGAGTGTTTAAAAAAGGTTATAGCTATTTCGTACAAAAAACTGTTGTTTCTGTAGTTTATTAAAAAACTATACATACCATCAGCAATGGTTCTTATTAAATTGCCATAGATTTTATCTTACAAAATTAAGCACATGAAAGTTTCAACAAATTAGTACAGTAGTAGAGTGGTGGTAAAAATCCTATTTCAAATAATGCATGCATGTCAACTACACTCGAATTATGATCATACTTATTCGATCTTCGCAATTTGAGTTTTGTTGATAACATAAACTCGGTCAATAAATTAAAATCAATTATATCAATAAATAAAAATAACTTTCTTTAGTTTGCTTTTTTTATATTTACCTGTTTACTATCATGTCTGCACTCAGTGCGGTCGTACCACCATTTATTTAGTAGTTTTGTGAGCTCCCCGTTTTCTATGAGTGATAACACTGCTAGATTTACCACCTCTCTGAAATAGAAAGAATTGTGGTAATGAACTTAGTTAAATGTAGGTTTATAGAAATTCATAGTTAAATAAACTCCTTGCAAATATGAGAAAACAATAATAGTAATTTAAATATCACAGTTAGCTATTAAAAAATATAAAAATAAAAAATCTAAAATAGCAAGTTCGGCAGTATAATCAAAAAGACACTTATTTTAGCATTTGAATCTTCATTATCTCATATCATCATGTGTTTAAACACTAAAAAGACATTGTGTTTTTGAGATGAGATTTATAGATACATATTTAAAGGGACAAAAACGATTTTACAATATTAGGGAGTATGAAGTTAATTTTTTTTGTGGCCATTAATAACAAAGAGAGAAAAGTAATTGCTGTTTTTGTCTTCTCGAAGCGGCCTTTCACAGAATTGTCATCAGGCCTGAATTGTTTACCGCTTAGCTCTCGATTTGGTAAAAAATGGTTTATTGTGGCTCTTTTTCATTAAATTGCGTTGCAAGAACTGGTATAAGAGGCCTAACTGTATCTCAAATTGAAAGTATTAACGCGTTATAAAATAATTATTAGTTGGAATAATAGCAGTTATGATTCGTTTGTATGAGCTATCTTAAACCTATACTACACCAAACTATACTAAACCAATACTAAAAGAATTCATGCAGGTGGTGAATTAGTTAGTTATATTTCTATATCTATACTGGATGGACACTAAATAAAACTTCGCGTTGTATACATATGTATAATCAGTATTTAAATGCACTACTAAAAGGATACAAGGACCTTTTAAAGACCCAATTTAAGTTTTGTTACTTCTACTTTACTGCACATACTTACTCCTTAAGAAAAGAAACCCAGTTACATTTTATAACGATAGTAAGGCAAGTAATTAGGTGTAATGCTTATGATTTTTACTACTATTCCATTCTCTTCAATAACATAGAGAGCAATAATTTATAAACTAAATGTTAATGTTGAGCTATTTACATTAAGTTCTTAACTATGTTACTGAATAAAATTAATAATTAACATACCGGGTGTCCCACGAAGGGGTTTAAACGTTTGATTTTATATTACGTGCCCATTAATGCACCGAACTTTTTTAAACTTTACATAGTTTACAAAGTAGGTTTTAAAAATATTCTGGAAAAATTTCAACTCCCTAACCCTAGTAGAAACAAAATGGCGGCATATTGACAAATTTACCTATGTGCTTTCTATAAAAACTACTTTCATGATTTACTAATAGTTATTTATTTATTACCTATTATTATTTATCAGTTATTTGATTTATTTTTAGTTTTCCATTAGGCTATGTTCTAGTTTTTTTTATTTAAAAGTCATATTGCCCTGGAAAGTAACAATAAAAATATTTTACCTACGACCGTTTTTTAAAGTAGCCATTTCAGTCCAGTTCTTAGAATTGAAAAGTTTCACTTTACAGCTGTTTACTTTCATATCCGCATAGTTTCATTTCATATCCGCATAGTTTTCTCATATCCACCCAGGTAACGGACCAATGAGGTTCAAGTATTGAGAGAAAAGAATTAAAATTGTAATGCTTCGAACGTCAACTAATCAGCTGATCAGCTGATCAGTTGACCAATTTAATTGTTGATCCAACTTGTTCATGTTGATACTCGCGTATTCTTAATTAAGTTGGTGGAAGTCCAAAAATAAATGAAATATTTGCCGAATTGTACCTGATACAATATTATTTATGGTAAGAATGCTGCTAGCAATGTAATATTTAACGAAGTTTAACAAACACGTAATTACAGGAAATCAGCTGATTATACAACAAGTCGTTGCATCACTTTCAGTGGCAATGACAATACACGAAAACATAACCTCTCTAAAAAGTTATCAGTAGTGATTGTTAGTAATTAATCCAGATTGATAGTAATTAAAAAACGGTCGTAGGTAAAGTAGTTTACGCAACTCGCGTTAATAGTCTTTACGACACTCGTAGAAGTTTTTAAGGCACTCGCCAAGGCTCGTGCCTTAAATTTTCTACTCGTGTCATAAAGACTCACTTAACGCAATCGTTGCGTAAACTACTATTATAAAACCAAAAATACCTGTTTTAATGTTTTTAAAGTAACGTTTTTCAGTATGCCGCCATTTTGTTTCTACTAAGGTTAGGGAGTTGAAATTTTTCCAGAATATTTTTAGAACCTACTTTGTAAACTGTGTTAAGTTTCAAAAAGTTCGGTGCATGAATGGGCACGTAATATAAAATCAAACGTTTAAACCCCTTCGTGGGACACCCTATACATGAATATTACAGGGTTAGTAAAAAGTGTGGAGACCCCCTGTAATTTTTTAACGGCCCATACTAGAAAAACTAAACTCAGCACACCATTATGGCATGTTATGAAGTACTTTTTGGGCATAACCGCCACTTGGTGTTCATCCCCAAAATAGGGGATTTTGGGGGAAACTCAAAAATTTCAAACACAAAGACCCATCGAGTAACCCCTCATTTTTGAAAGTTTTGGTACAAGAAAACCAACAACGGAAACTAGAGGTCTTTATCTCAATCTAGTAAAAAATGGCAGCCAATTGAAACTCTCATAAGTTCCCGAACCTAAAATGTGGGATTTTGGGGAAACTCAAAAATTTTAAATGATAAGCCCTATCGAGTGACCCCTCATTTTGAAGGTCATAATAAAATAAAACGAACAACGCAAACTATAGGTCTCTATCTTAACACAGTAAAATATGGCAGCCAATTGAATATAAAATTGCAAGTTATTTCCGATTTCTAAAGACTTTAATCAGCTTCCATTTTTTACGGGATTGAGATAGAAACCTCTAGTTTGCGTTGTTAGTTTTCTTTTACCAGGACCTTTAAAATGAGGGGTCACTCGATGGGGCTTATCATTTCAAACTTTTGAGTCTCCCCCAAAATCTCCCATTTTGGGTTTGATAAGCAAGTGGCTATTAGGCTTAAAAAGTACTTCATAAGATTCCAAAAAGGTGTGTAGAGTTTAGTTATCCTAGTGTGAGCCGCTACAACATTTACAGCGGGTCTCCAGACTTGGAAAGCTGTAAGTTAAATTTAACTTCTAAGAATTTCAATTGGCTGCCATTTTTTACTGGATTAAAATAAAGACCTCTAATTTGCGTTGTTGGTTTTCTTTTACCAGGACCTTCAAAATGAGGGGTTACTCGATGGGTCTTTGTATTTGAAGTTTTTGAGTTTCCCCCGAAATCCCCCATTTTGGGGATGTACACCAAGTGATGCCCAAAAAGTACTTCATAACATGTCATAAAGGTGTGCCGAGTTTAGTTTTTCTAGTATGGGCCGTTAAAAAAATAACAGGGGGTCTCCACACTTTTTACTAACCCTGTGTAAATATAGAGAGAGAGGAGTCTGGCGATCACGGCAGCAGTGGTAACGGGTTGTGATTATTAGATAAACATTGTTGGTGGGAAATGGACCTTCTGCAGTCTCTTTTTAACATTGTAATCATTAAAAAATTCATCTGGGAACAGTCCAAGGGAAAGAACGCAGGAACTCAGTCGAATCTCACCAATCACAAATGAATCTTATGTTACTGATAATGCCGTGACCTTCCAAGCCCAGCCTGAAGTAATGTGTAAAAAGGTTCCATTCTAGATCCTAAGGCCTATAGTATGTGAACTCGGACATAAACATACCCCCCATACAGTCAACGCCACTTTAATTATTTTACTTATTTTGTAGTGGTACTTAAATATCTTTTGATGATCATTCAGTTGGCAATCGTACTGGTCAGATGAGTTGAAAAAACAGGATTATTAACATTTTTAATCATTTTTAATCATGATGATTAAAAACAGGAAACACAATTATTAATATTCCCCGTTCCGGCACTTAAGCAACTCATGAACAAAATCCACTTGCTCTCACCTTAAAGGGGACCCCAGGGGGGTCGCCACTCCGAACCCCTTGGAGTCAAAGTTCCTCCCGACCTTCATTGTGTCACATGGCTCTCTTTCATTGGTGTACTCGTTCTTTGGTGACTCTATTAACAGCGCGTACTTGCCCTTCGACTGCCTCACTCTTTGTATTCCTTCGTCGTACGTTTTCACAAATACGTTCTTTCGTGAGTTCATGAACTCCCACATCTTGCTGTACAAGGTGATCTGTGATCTCTAAAAATCATAAATGGTTCATTTAGATTTCTATTTATTATGATTTCTGTATGCATATTTTTATATTGTTGGTGAATATTTTGTTATAGTGCCCAGTTAAGTGGTGATTTATGGTAGAAGGTTTATGGTAAAACTTAGATTTTTATAATCCATATTTTCTAGCCTCTGAGCTGGTTCTATGACTAAATTGAAATTTTACCTTCGTCAGCCAGCTCCTGATTTGTTCAACAAATCAGGAGCTGGCTGACGAAGGTAAAATTTCAATTTAGTTAGATTTTTAATAGTTAAACAAGTGCCTTAGCATTAACAGAATAAGTAGTTTAAAGAGTAATATTTAGAATATGTTAATAATGGAACATCTGTAGACAGGATTGTATTCATAGGTGTAATATTTATAATTTTTGCTCATAATATTTGAATGAGTTCTGTAATCCAACACTACACACTTAATTTTTTAGTTGTTCATACTCTGATAGCTGATGGGGTAGACATGACGTTATGGTTCGTTAAAAGTTGATTATTCAGTTGAATACCAAGTTCAAGTTGTATAAGAATGAAAATAGCATTAAACCTTCACGCACTCATTCAGTGGCTTCATTGTACTAGATCCCAGTTTTGTAGAAAACTTGCTACAATTTCAACTGTGAAACAATATGTTTTTTTACGTCAGTGCAGACCTCATGGATAGTAAAGTAAGTATTAAGCTTTTAAATTGTGAATATTATTGAAAAAATTGAACTTTGACCACCTTTTATCAAATAATTTCTTTGTTGTCCAATAAACTTTTGTCACTTCATAAAAAATAAAAATGATGAAAAATAGTAAAAGAAAAACTATGTAAATGTGCAATAAGATGATATTATTACTCGCACTTGTAATCATTAATGGAAACTCGAATGTTTTGTGGCCAAGCTCTAAAGGTTTACCCGGAAGAAATCCCAGGTGGATCCATGGTAGAGGGTGCCATACTGAACTTCCGTCTGGGAGGCGAGGTCTTCCGGGGAGTTGATGGGAGTGACCATCCGTTCTACAGTGAGGAAGGCAGCGAGGTTGGCGGTGTAGGAAGAGATGAGGATAAGAGTGAAGAACCACCAGACGCTCCCTACTATGCGGCCCGAGATAGATCTGTGGATAAAATACAGGGTGTTCGGTTAGTAAAAATCTAAGCTACAAGAAATCGTTCCTTCGGAAGCCATATATATCCGTTAATTTGTATTTTTTCGTAAATCAAATTCATAATTTCATTTTTTTTTTCATTTTAATAAATACATTCATAAGCCATATCTTGGAATTGTTCAAACCAATTTCAATTAAACTTGGTATGTATGTTAATCCAAAAGAGGTGTGTGCTAAACAAATATTGGCTTGGTCCAATTTTAAATTTTGGCCATTTGGTATTTATTAATTTTTTTTTTATTGCAGCTTTGAAAGAAATGTTTGAAACTATATTCTTTGGACCTTTGTCCATTTTAAAACTCCATTTTAAGAATATCACTTTTGTTTATTTAATTGGTTTTGAAATATAATTTGGTTTTGCTGATTTAAGACTCAGGATATGGGAATTTGTTGACAATTTATATTCTAGTTGTAATATTTTCTAAAAAAAATGGGGGTTCTCAAGGGATTTTGCAATTTTTAATTGGATTTTTCTGGTTTTCTTAAAATATGAGGTATTTTTAAGTCGAGTCCATTCTATTTCCCTAGTTTATACTAATATATGTTGGATATACAAACTGTGTTGGATTCATTAAATTGAACCTAGAAAACCTAAGTTGATCCTAAGCCTTACATGATTGAACGTTAACTTTGAGTTGATGTAAAAACTTAACTCATATATTTTGTATATTTTGTTTAATGTGCATATGGTTATAATGCACCCCTCCTCGGTGTGTTATAAGCTGAATCAGAATCAACAATTGACCAATAATGTGTGACAACTGAGTCCAGAGTTTCAAACCAGCAGGACATAACTATTGATTGAAAATATCACAATACCTTGGCGATATGTCACAGCCCTGTTGCATGAAGGCCCCCAGAGCGAACCATAGACTGTTGGATATGCTGAAGTCGTTGGCCAGCACCGCAGGAGCCTGTCCTGGAGTACCAGCATGGTGTAGCGAGTGATGATGGGGATCGTCGGCGTACGAAATAAGTCGCCACTCGTACGGAGAAAATCTGAAAGAAATTTCCATTAGTGCAATGGGGTCGTAATATATTATTATTTTGTGGGTAAAATACTTTTGTTTGTGTAATTTGGCGCCACTGACTTTTTACGTGTTTGTTAGGGAATGGCCTCCACTCCTGTTTTGATCTAATGCCAACCTTTTGTTTGATAGCATCATTATAGGCATATTGTACCTAAAGACATACTTCATCAGTTTACAGGGATAACCCTGTTGGGCGGATCCAGCATCTTTAAGACTTTTATGCAAAACTATGACATATTTGAGCTACCCAGAAATTAATAAATTAGTTTCTAAGTAAGCTACAATCATTATCTCTTAATACTAAAAGTGTTAAATTATCATCCAATTGTCATCTTTAAACATAATTTTGCTGTATTCAATCAAGACCTCACAACAAGAATTCAATGTGAGGTCTTACGTTTGAGTTAAGCAATGCCGACCAAAAGAGGTTCTTAAATTTAAAGGTAGGTTTTACATTAGGCGTTTTATTTTTTGATTATATTATTATTACCAGTTAGATGGGGACGCCACCTCTATTTTAACCCAAATATGAGTGAAGGATGAGTGTTTGATGACCTGTGTAGCTTTGTTTCTGACTAAGACCAGCTGTTTCATTAGTCAGGATCATTTATGTCCAATGATCAAAGACAGCCGGCTCCCAAATCGAACTATTAAAAGGCTACTAGCTTTTCTCAGGATGAAACTGGCAACCTTTTGATTACCAGGGAAGCACTATAACAACTCAGCTACCCAACTAAGTAATCATACAAAAACAGTTGAAAAGATATTGTCTATACAAAAATTTGAATGTTGGATTCTTAACATGCTTGTCATTTCCATTCACATTCTTAGTTCACCAAAGCCATCTTAAAACGAACAATATACAATTTCATCTGTAGATTCTACGATATAAATATCACTTACTCAATGATAAAATACATTCGCTCAGCTTACCTGCTGACGATGAAGAGGACGATGCTGACTCCAATGTAGGAGAAGATGACACACACCCAGATCTCCTTTGAGAGAGGATTTAGAAAGCTGAACACTCCTGGCTTCTGCTTGACTGGTTTCTTGATCATGATGCTGATCCCGAGCGACATGAAAGGCTTGCTGAAGTCAATCACTCTCTCCCGTTCTGACGTAATTGTCATCGGAGCGATCGCCATGTCTGCTTCCTGCAAATTACAGTTTGAATCAGAGTGATGCACATGTATTTTGTGGTGGCCTCTAATAACCATCACACTTTTTATACGATCGGTTCAAATGGGATTCAAGATTGGGTGTGGGTTGTGTCAATAATGTATAATGACTAATCATTATGCTAACTGACCTTTTATATGAGTACGATTTTGAACTATTCTTTTAAACCTTGTTTAAGCTTTTTAAAAACCCTTTCATATTTTTTTATGCTGTATTTAAAACTATTTTCAACACGATAAACTTGTATCCTCCACTTGAATTCAACTATTTATGTCGGTAACCTGAAAATTTACGAATTATAGTTTCTCAAGGAAGAATATCCGTAAGATACGCAAGGTTTTTATATAATAATCCAAATATTAAAAATAATTCCTATTTTCCTCATATACAAAATGCTTGAAACATAGTTACTATTTTAAATTTGACATACCCTCATAAAATTTCATATAAATTGTTGAAACACATATATTCATTTCCTGTATGTATTTTAAAATACTTGTCATAAGTTTTCTATATAAAATAAAAAAAAAACGCATTTTACTCAGTTAAAACGTGAATAAATAAATTAATTATCTATAGTTTTATGATAAACTCAATGCATCTCAATTTTTCAAGTTCAACCCAAACATAAATCTGTATTTTATTTTACCCAACAGTACACATAGTTATTTCGGCACATTTCCAACTCGGGACAAAACGAAAGGACCATGAGCCCTGTAAATGACGTCACATTATAAAGATGGCCCCTCAGGAAATCATCTGATGGTGGTAGAGTGTCGCCGGCGCTGGACATCATTTGTCAAGACCAGTCCAAACTTGTAGAGATAATCAGCTGTGACCAACACTGCTGTGGAGCGGTTGTTAGTTTGTACGTCGTCTGTTTATTATTCAAACTGAGTTTATAAATTCAAAACAAACTACATAAAGTATTGTTTTTAGAGTGAATGCATTTCCTATTGAAATTGGTGATTCTTGAAAGATGTTTTTAGATGTTACTGTGTTTGGCTGATAAAAGTCATAACAATCTATAAAGAGATAAACAGGTTATAGAAATTTTCTATGATAACATTTGAAGAATATATTTTCCTATTCCTCATCACGTATGAAACTTTTCTTCTGATAAGACTTCACTAGTTCAGGTCACAAAGCAAATATATTTATGGTGGGTACTAAAATAATCACTATGTTATTGTCATAACTTTTCAAATAACTTAGTTAATTGTTAACTATTAATTATTTGTTAATCATTAACTAAGTTAATTGCCGCATGGTAAATCTTTGGTAGATAAAAAAAACTTAAGCTTTGAATTTCTTGGGAACTAAAACCATGAATGTACATCTGGAACCTGATAAATTAAAATGGGAACAATTCACATTTTAAAATCATATACGTTATAAAAGACCGTACAAGTTATAGTGGCCCACGCCCTATGTATCAACAAGTATTCTACAGTTGGGTGTATTCCCCACATAAAAAAAAAAACCATACAGTTTGGATTGTGACACGTACCAAATTTAAAGAACTATTTAATAGAAGAAACATTAATGAGACAAAAACTAAATTAGACAAACATAAAACTTACTATACTAAAATAGATAATGTAACCCTAAATTACCATCAACAATGTTCCCTTATATGAAAGTGTTTACAAGCTTATGTGTGATTTCCTCATGAAACCGCAAAGTCCCTCAGAACAGTAGAGCTTAATGATGAAGCATTATACAGAGCCCTCAAGGACATCTCTGTGACCATCAATTTGTCAATCTCAGTATACTGTAGAGGATCAAGTGTCCATCCCTAGGGTTATCTCATATGGATATTAAAACGAAAACAAGACTTCCCTGTTTAATTTGGCCTAGTTTTAATCCAATCTAGTTTATAAGAGTTTTTAATGGTTTTAATGCTAAAGTTTTCTTGTGATTTTAAGGATTTAATCTGACTATTTTTACTGTTTTAGAATCGTCATATTGTTGTATAGCAACATTAATTGATAACCCAACTTAAAAATGTATTTAGGTAAATTGTTGAGCTTGATGTTAAACCGAGATAAGTAATGATTTGAGGGCGAGCACTTCAACCACTCCCCTTACCACACTTTATTTTTGATTATTCATAAATTAAAGCTATTAGGGTTAATAATAATTCATACAAGTTAAGAGAATGTAGGAGTTTTGTGGTTAGTTGTATTGTTTGAGAAAAACTGTAACATTTCTTCTTTGAGTGTTTGATTAGATTTATTTATGCTTTTACCACAAAATATATAAAGGAAATAAAGTTCGTGTAAAACTCTTGAAAGATATACTCAAGCGTATACTGTTAATTCATATGTAAATGTGACATATATGTTTAAAGTGTTTATATGACTTATTGTATTTCCTTTCCATAAATTCAATTTATTCAATAGGACTTGCAATGCTGATTAAAAAGATATTAAATCCCTAAAGTTAGTTTTTAAGGATGTCATAATACCATTAGCGTCCAGTAGAAGTGATTTTACAATTATTGAATCAATCCCATTGGATTTCTTTTGGTTTTGGATTCTTTTTCAGTTGTAGACTATTTGGATATCACAACTTTTGTATTGTGATATAATACGGTATAAACCAAATAAAAAATCTTCAACTAATTATAGTGATTCAATGCATAATGTTCAATGTTATTGTGTTTCAAATTATATAGTTTGATATGCATTAGAGTTGTGTATGGGTTTTAATTACATCGATATCTGGTTAATTTTTTCTACAAAATTTGCGAAAACACACCAGATACAATCAATCAAAATTTATTTATTTATGGTAAATAGATCAGATAGATATCCCCAAAATGCACGGCAATCCTCTTCGGATATATATATTTAATACACTTAGGAGTTCTTTTTTTACTGGATTCTCTTCATCCTTTTTATTCCCTCATATTCTTGGATTTTTCACCAAGAATTGCATTTAATAAGTGTTTTAATAAAACTTGGATATTGTTTATCTGTTGTAACTGAATAATTGGGTTTTATGTCAACCATTATTGCAAGTAGTGCTGCATTCCTAATCCTGTTCATCGCTCACCCTAACAAAAAGTTTATGCCTAAACATCAATATTTTAAAAATTTTCTATCCTCTTTTATCCAAAGGGACATTCTAAACAGCTGATAATTCACTTGACCATTTCATTTTAACTTAACTGCTGGTTCAACATGTTTACCTAAGTGTTACTTACCTTCCTAATGAGTTCTCCAACCATTCCATCCCATCCACCTTTCACATCTGAGTTCTCAGCTCCATACTGACCGTCTTTCACTATTCTCAGTTCATCTGGGAAAACATTGCAAAGAGGTATACATTTATTTAGATTATTATTCATAATGTAGCCCCCGAACTATTTAATTAGACCATTAAAATGACTTGCAGACCTTTACGTCAATAGTTCAACAAAGTATAGTCAAACACACAAAACATGTTTCGCCTATTCAAGCATCTCGATCCAAGTGATCTACTAGCAAGAACGCTTCATTAATAGAGTCGTTAATTAACACTCAAATAAATACACAAATACAACACACACGAAAATACTTTTTACATTTAAAGTAGGCCTAGCTCTACTTTTAACCGGTCGCGGTACTCAGGCTGACTGACTGGAATTAAATAACACCTGGACATATTTTGAGATTTAAATATCTAAAAAGCGCACCTTAATGGGATTTGCATATATTTTTTTATATTTTTTTTAGTGGAACATGTTTTGGATTATATTTAGATTATAATTGTTTACTATATTAAGATTATTACATGACTTTTAATCTTTTTATTATATTAAAAATCAATCACAGGCACTATTCACAAGTATTGCATGATGCAATTTAAACTAATGATAATAAACTAGTGGGATTTTTGAATAAGAAGTATGGGATATGGTTTGACACATAGGAACGACGTCAGTCATAAAAACTGGAATACCTAAAGTGCTAGGGCATTTGACAAATTTAATGAAATCAATTGATATTCATAGTAGCTGTCTAAATCTACTCCAATCATGGATTTGAATTAACCTATTTACGATTGTTATTTAAATTTAAAAAGGTTTACAATACCTGCAAATAGTAATCCTTAGTTTCTGTATGGCAAGTTTCAGTTCTTAATCTGAACCATCATCAGACCCACAACGTGCCAAGAAATCTGTTACTTTCGAAAGTCATCAACAGAGATCAATCAATAACACACTCACACGAGACATGAAAACATAAAACTAACTCACTTTTACAAAAAACCATTGAATAAACAAAGGGACATTGGAAAAAGCGAGCGTGATCGGACTGAAGTAAAGTCTAGATGGTATATTTCGTTATTTTGTAAAACTATGTCCGAATTATGTTTCAGTGTCTCGTGTGTGTGTTAGTTATTGTACTCTGCTGGACACCTATTTAGTAAGTCTCATGATGTTTCTGATCTAGTACCGAAACTAATTGACTCTACAGCAACCAAGGTTATACTTAGGTATTGTAAAACCTTGAAAATAAAAACAGGAATCTGAAGGCTAAACCCCTCTATGCAATTTTTAAAATCATACTACTTATCATATATGGACTTAAATAACTAAATTTATTTATATAGTTTACTCACAGTTGATGCCGAGTCTCTTTGCTATCAGGTCTGCCAGGTCTTTGCAATAGCCTTCAAAGCGGTCATTGCCTGTCAAGTTTTCACCTTTTTCAGGAGATCGCAGCATAATATATGGCTCTTCCTGGAAAGATAGAGAGATAATTACATTTCAAAGGTAAAGCTACATGATTATACGAAAAATTACATTTATTTTCTTTAAGTTGTTAGTAGAAAAAGTTTTTAAGTTAAGCTGATATTCATCTGTAGTCCTAATTTATTAAGATAATATCCACTGACTGTATTAACGAACACATGGTTTACTTAACAGTTTTATTCGTACCATTTAGAGTAATTTAATTTAAAACTAATGGATATTCATAACATAGAGTTACATTTGATTGCAATATGATATTGTTGTAAAATTTTTCTCTTAATAATTTTTCAGGAAGTAAAACTGTTAGAAGCCATATATAAAAACATTTAAGCAATACTTTTCCAAGCTTTTCCAAGTAATGCATACATATCTTGTTATGTATACGCTGAAAAGAAGAATAATGAATCATTCTTTGAATAGAGCTACAGAACTGGCAAGTCGATTCCTTCTTTTAACTGATGCAGGAAGTGCAATAAATGTAACTTTACAATGGAAGCTTAGGAAGCGACGTTCTTGTATGATTTATAAAAGTGATTCCAGAATACGATAAATTAAAAATAACGGCCTCCGAGATAGCCATTAAGATAAAAGTAGGCGCGATTCAATGAAACGAAGATTTTATCCTAGGGACAATAATCCTGCCCATTAATATAACTTACTTGCGACTATTTTTTATCAGCTCAACATTAAATTCTTTTTACCATATTAAAATCAATCGCAGGCACTATTCACAAATATTGCAAGGATGTAATATTAACTAATGATTATATATATAATGGAGAAATTACTACCAGAATATGCGTAACTAGATATTCGTAATATCTTATACACTAAAAAAACTTTTGCAAAACTTATGACAGCTAGCCTGACTATACTACTGGACCGAATTACACGCGGTTGGTACTAAATGAAAGATATTTTCCTGTATATGTGCAGAATCCCTTTATAAATTATAATAGGCTAAAAATAAACACAAAAATGATTTTGAAATAAAAAAATTAACATGCGGCTTATGGGTTGTCACGCTGGTGACAAAATAACAACAAAATATAAACAGGAAATAAAAAAAATTGAAGAAATTCCAATCGTATGTTTTATATACAGCGGGGAGTTAAAATGGAGAAGTTTGCACATACTTTTGGTCGAGTTTTCGACCACGAGGCGAGCTCTTGTTACGAACTAATGTAGAATGTTTGTGGTAATAGTTAACCCTAAACAGTTTTGTTTATTCATTGTGTTCAATTCTATAAAATAAAATAAACTACGATGGAAAACCTCACATCTCAAACAAATATATGACCTGTATCAATCTTAGTATTAAAAAATTTAAAACCATCCATGATAAAAATATCAATAAATATAAATATCTTTTCAGCTCCGTTTATAACTTAATATTTTCTTATAAATTCCATTTTATGTTTTCTCATGTAAAGCAGAACTAACCTTTTACTAGTGTTGAACAAAAAATATTTCTAAAAATATATAAAAAGTTAAAATATATTTTTAAGATGCGTTTATCAGAAGTACAACAGTGTTTCTGGTCTTTAATAATAGATTGTAAGGGAATATCTTGCCACAATTTGCATTCCCTTTTTTAATGATTAGTGATGAAAACTACTGCCAAACTATGTATTTATATGAGTTTTATCTAATATTATACAATTTTACTGCTGTAGGTAAGCGGAAACAATATTTCAGTAAGTATAGAATTATAAAAAAACTTCTATTTTTAAACGTTCAAATTATATGCAAGTTTATGTATTAAACTAATACTTTTTTGCAATCCTTGTCTAATTAACTGTTGTCTAATTTTCATAATTATAGAAATTATTATTATTATGTTGAACTGTTATACAATGGACTTTTAGAGTGGTTCTTTAAATATTCACTTATATAAACGTGTATACAATTATACTAGTTCGAGGTAAAATATAAATATAACCCATTTGAATGCCTGCAAATTCAAGAGCCAATGAAATAGAATAAAGAATATAAATAGTGTAAAAATTCATTTAGAATGATGAGAGGCATAGTTTTAACAATATGCATAGTTATAATGTTCCAATAACATAAAGACTTATTGATAAAATGCCAAAACAAAATGGATACACGTTGAAGGTGTGAGATAATTATATTACCACAATGGTGGTGACAATGTATGTCTTGTTCTTCTCTATTTCACTATGGGGTCGTAGTCTCACATATTTGGCGGCAACTGGGTTAAAACCACCCTGGTCAGTCCACTCCGCTACCTGCAAAGTCATTTTACCTTAAAAATCAGCAAATATTGAAAACTAAATTTGTGCTACTATCCCTGTTAGTAAGAAGTAAGTACAAAGGAGAAATCTTTGTTAGTAAAATATTTGTTGGGGTGATTATTTTAATGAATTTTGATCGTATTAATTTATAAGCTTGAACCCTAATGTTTATTAATACTAAATTGAAAGAGATAGACGAGGGGAGTTTTAAACACCCAATTTGTTTTAGAAGGTTATTGATCTTAGTATAAGGAATAGTGAACATTTACTTTAGGAAATTACTTATCTTGAGGTAACAGAAATACACTTGAATAGATTTGAATTTGAATCCTGTTAAAATCCCAACTCAATTCTATAAATATTTATTCTCCTTTTAGAGATTTTAACAAGTAATCTAATTTCATTTCGTACTATATTAAAACTGTGCGAAGGTGATCTCAAGGATAGTTAAAACTATTTTAATTTTCGCTAGAAAATTTTTTTTAGTTATAGAGGGACAGACAGAACAAATGCAGTGACAAGGCTTACCAAGATACTGTTAAGTTAATTTTTAAATGTAAGCCTGCCATAAACCTTTTAAAAGAAAATAAATTGATATTCCTTTTTTGTGTGTGCACACTCTTTGATATGTTTTTTTTTACAAATGTAATACGTTAGACAATTTCCTAAGCTATTCTAACTACTTCTTTTACTCACTGGCTACAAGTGGCAATAAACACAGCATGGCACATTTAATTTCAAATAAACTAATAGTAAAAATAAGTCATCTTTAATATATTTTTTAAAATTATTGTTCTCATGACCAACCTCATCCCCACAACACATCTGCGAGCCGTTCATTTACCTCACTGTATTCTCCCCGATAATATTATTCAAAGAAAAGCAAGGCTTATTAAACAATAAAACTGCTAACGTACCTTGACCATGGCGCTGTTAACAGTCATCTCTACAACATGGAGGGTGTAGTTGACTCTGCGACCGTCATCATTGAATCTCACTTCTCCCGTTAACCCTTCCAACTCGACCTCCAACAAAGCCACAACATCAGCCAATGGTTAGATTACATTAGATTTTACTGTCTCAACATATCGGGAAGTCATTTGTGTCCAGTTGGTGTTTCCTGTTTGTTTATTAAATAAGTTTCCTGTTGTGTTTGCGTTTGTTAAATTAATTTATGGCTGTTGTTTTGTACATATATATATATTTATTTTGTTGTTGTTGTATCTTACTATTTCTTTTGTTAGCCTACCGATATTGCAATTGTTGTTTCCTTTTTTCTCGTTGTTGTTATGTCTTGGTTGCATATTGTTAAATATTGTTGTTGTTATGTTTTTGCACTTTAAATTTTACCTGTTGTTGTTATCTATGCGCCATATTATTATGTCTTTTGCATCTTATGCCTGCTTCTCATTTTCATTCTTATTTATTGCACTATTTTAGTAGCCTGTACCTAATTTTTGCTATGTTTTTTGTTTGTCTTACACTTGAATTGATTCAGCCTATTAATGTATTTTTGTTTGTCTTTTATACTGGTTATGTCTTTTGCATTTCATGTCTGCTTTCTAATTTATTCTTATTATTGCTCATATTTATTATCAATTATGCTATGTTTATAAAGTGATTAATCCTATTTAATGTATATTCCAATGTAAAAATGGTGTTACCGTTGAGAGAATAAATAATAATAATAATAATAATAATAATAATAATAATAATAATAATAATAATAATAATAATAATAATAATAATAATAATAATAATAATAATAATAATAATAATAATAAGTTGAAGAGGAGTGAAGATTGTGAAATGCATGAGGTGATAGCTTGTTTACTGACTACAATCAGCTGTTTTTTGTTCAGGACTATTTATTACAATCCCAATGCACAGCTGGTTCCAGTTTCGTGGACAAGTCTCAGCTAATACATAATTTAGAAACGAGTAAACTATAGATAGTGAATATTACTATGTAAAATACAACTATGCATGTGGGGAGCGAGCTGGTCTAGTGGTAGAGCGTGCTACATCGGACCCTGAGGTCCCGCGTTCAAATTCCGTCAATTCACTAATGATTTTTTTCCAAATGATAATGCCGCAAGCCCCAAATGTAACCTAATGTAATGTGAAAAATATATACTGGGATAGTGCCTAGCATCCTAGAGCGAAAAAAATTACTGATTTTGAATGACTATGTTAAGATCATTGCTTGGTTGGTGCTAGAGCCAGAGTCGTATTTTATGTCAAAATCTCATTTAGTCAGAAGAATTACAGTGATATCTGAATAATCAGTTTATCAATATTCACTTCTGAATTATGTAAAAAGTCTCATTCGATAAAGAGAATTTATACTAACAACATGAATATGTGATTGATTCGCTGAACATTTTGGATATAATAAGCAACAGAAAGCTTTATTAAAACTTTATATCCAAATTTAGGTAATAAAATGAACATCTTTCCAAAAGAAAATCGTTCTCATTAACAGTGGCTTTCAATGAAACACACTTCTTCATTGACGTAATGAAAATAACCCTGACGTTACTACTTTTGGCACGGAGCTTATCGGTTGGATGCTTAATTTTTGGGCGAATTTATCAACTCATTACACAATGATAATAAAATTATGTATATATTAAATCTAGTCTTACATTAGTGTGAGCAATACAGTGATTCTACAATTATTACAGAAATATGTCCAATATCTGATTTATCAAAAAGATAGTAGGACTGAACTTTCGAGAGAGAAAAAAACTGGTGAAACAATAAGACAAAAGGAGGAAAAGGTTAAATGAACTAGCGGAATGTGATAGCTTTATATGTTGACCAAGTGTAATGATACTCTATTGTGTAGGGACGTTTTCCTTATACCACGTAAAAGCCATCTACATAATGTCTTTGTATGATACGCCCTATGACAAATATAATATTGTAGAGGAACTTTTGTAAGAGATGAATTCTCCAGAATACGTATAAACGTATGAACAGTAATAATAAAAGTAAATATAAAAAATGTAGTGTGGTATTGTATACAAACCCCTGTCAAAATTAAATATTCTTGAATAATTGCTTACATTTCTTAAAAATTCGACATTACCATAACACAGTAAATTATATCTCTATAAACATTTAAGAGTTAGGACCTATAACTGGCTTGTATTGAACCCTTTTTATGGTATTGATTAGTAATGTCCATTTTAATTCTGGTGCTGTTTAGGTCTTAAGAGATCTGAGTCCGAATGTTAAATTGGATTTTTCAATTTAATAACCCTCTTTTCTGTACTAATATTTATTATGATTAGTTTAACTTTTATTTATTATTCTCATATACCATCTATATTACTGTAATGTATATGCCAATAACTTATTCAAACTTTTTGAATGTACGTATCACCTAATAAGGCCAACTACCAGGTTAATACTATATTATCCAAAATGGTTTACCCCACCTTAGAGAATTCTGTCTGTAAAGCCTCTGATCACGTTCATTGCACGATTATAAAAGGATAATTGCATAAAAATAATGATTATTGATTAATGTTCGATTAAATAGGGTGAGTTTACAAGCTTTTTGCCAGCAAGTATAAAAGAGCTCGTCGGCGAGTACGACAAGCCCCTTTAGTTACTTACAAATTCCTCCAACATTATCAATACATTGTTGCCTAAGCAAAATATATGTTAGTAACATCTTCCAACTTCATACCTTTCTCAGGAATCTGGAGATTTTATCCCCATGCTCCCACGGTGTCACCCATCCTCTGCTCGTGTTGCAGTCAATTCCTCTACTGCCATTGTTGAACAGCTGACCGCGGCGCAGATTGTTGCGGAACATGTCGGGCTTTTTGCGCAGCAACTTGTTGAAAGCTTCGACAAGCACGAACACTGCGTCGTACATCAGGGCTGCTTGCGCCTGAAGAACAGCAATTATGTATTAGTGTCGGATGAACATTGTTTCATTTAGAGTTTGATGTTTGCAGAAGGTGCTGTCAGAACTCCTTTAAAATTTGTGGTCTGAATTTTATCTTGATAACATTACCTTAAACACCGGGTACATAAAAACTTACATGTTGCACTATATGGGATGGATAAAAATGTTCTGTTAAAAACATATGGGCTATGTTAACGTAAATCTTCTCAATTTATTTTCAACTCGTAAACGGTAGCTATCTATATGCTTGAAGATAAATAGTTGCATGCTCCATTGTCAAGTTAGATGTAAAAGTACAATGAAATTCGGTAAGATCATTTGTATATTGCCTTGAATAGAACCATTTAGAGGTGTATAGTCAATGATAGAACCCAGACGTACTTGCCAAAGCTATGAGAAAATATTTTAATCATAGAAAATTGTTGACATGATGTGAGCCCTACAACGTTACTGTAGTTTGAGCATGGTCTTCTGAGGATGACCACTTCTATAAACTGGTCCAAATTTTGGATGCATTGCAGCAATAAATTTTCGGAGGAAGCTACAGTAGCATATTGTTGTTTCTCTCACCGAAATTGATTCTCGTCCGGCTCCTACTGAGGTTGCGGGATCAAGTCTTCTCCAGCCCTCAATGAAGTCCCGGACGTATCTTCTAGAGCCCTCCACTATCCTGAACCCCGTGATGTTGATGGCACCATACTCTATAACCTCGGACTCCCAACGATCATCCATGATCTGGAAAGTTATCATCGGGTTAGACATTGCATGACGAAACCGTATTCCCTGATATTCCTTGTGGTCTAAGCTACATTCCTGACTGTATTATGCAGATTATTTTTCGCTTGTGTCTATGGCAGTGGCATTTTGGTAATTCTCCCCTCCTTATTCAATATATGTACTAGTTTTGATTAAAGAAATATATTGAGTTGGTTTTGAAGGACACAAAGACGGAAGCATTGCCGAAGCCAGCATTATCCAATCACTTATGAAGCTAGGAGCATAAGGCAATATCAGGTAAAATCCTTGAATTTGTCGATATTATTTCGGGATAAACCACAACCAAAAATAAGAAACATTTATTAATTTAGACATATATATTTAGATGACTTTATCCTCGTGTCAATTAAGAGTGAGAGATTAGGCTAATTCAAAACGTGTAAAACTATGGCCAATACGAGTCTTACCAATAATAATGGCTTAACAAATTTATATATATGGATTTAGATGGATTTGGATGGTGTAGTTGGATGGTGGCAATGCATAAAGTGGGAAATATACGTAAGCTGACTAGTTACCCACTGAAATATTTTGATATAAACAGATTTTTTAATACTGATTAATTCATCCAAATAGCATTCATATAATTACTTATGTGTGAGATACTTCTACTATAGAATATATTTACAAAACTACTCATGAAAATCTCAATATGCTTTGATTATACTACAATTAATATTTTTATTTCCGAGAAAATGCGGTTATTCTCTATTTAATCAATAAAGCTCGCTATTGTAATACACGAAGTTTGTGTGAATGCAATTACAGTTATGTGGTAAATATTGAATCCATTATTTGGATTATGCGAAAACATTCAATATTGGTTGTTGGTTTTGAAACTATTGGATTCAATGTTACACTAAACATTGTAGGGTTGGTTTTATTATTTATAACTAAAACTTGACTTTAAATTTTGTACTATCAACAAAAAACTATTTTAAATAAAAAAAATTATGCCCTACATGCCTGTTTTTATATATTTTAATTTTCTAGAGCTTGCAGGATTATTTAAAACCCAATATAGGTGTTTTATTTAAGATTTATACTTATAATAGTAATTATCTAATGGTAATTTGCGTATTTTGGTACAGAGCGTAGTTATAATCACTATCGTAAATAAATAATCAAGTAGTATAACCAAATTCAATAATATTTAACTAGTTAAATCTAAATTTTGATAGTTTTATTAGGATAACACAGATATTGATGTTTATATTATAAAAACAATACCATAGCTCCATCATTAAATTTAATTCAGTACACACTTTTGTAATGCATGCAAAAAAGCGTTTATAAACGGGTATGTGTGTAAAATATTATTAAATATAGATGTTTTTTACTAGACGTACTTTTAGATAATACATTCGAATGTTTGTACCCCTACATGTATTTATTATATCACTTACAAGTCCACTGAGCAGGTAGTGGTAAGTCCTCTTCCCTAGAGTGATGTCCCTTACATGAGTGACTACAATCTCTTTAGCCATATCTGTGGGGCAGTCCAGGACGATGTATTTGTCACTCCATCTACAAGATCAAATAGATGGTCAATCCAATGTTTAAAATGTTTAGAACTGTTGATTCATGGTAATCTCCCATAAGACCAAGATTCTGCAGAATCTTAAAAGTCTATTTTTACCATGGAATCTTGCCTACCCTTTGATCTCAATTGTTGAAATGTTTTGTGATGTTTCGAGACCATTACTATCATTAACTTTAGACAATTTTATTTAGGCAAACCAGCTCTATAGTGATCGAATTTTGTATGTATGTATTTTAAACGTAACTTAGCTAGGTTTTTAGGAAAATATAATCGAATAATTCTTTCATAAATTGTTCCACTGTTAAAATAATTTTTAAAATATAAATTGAAATCCTAAGATAATTTATGGGACTTAAAAGACCTAAAATACGCTACAGTTTACAAAAAAGTGCCCATTTACACTTGCATTATTAGACGATTTGTGTTTATAAAAAACACATTTACAACGGCTATCTTTGTCGTTGACACAATTAAGCTATGTGTTATCAACTATTAAATTGGCTTCAGGCTTCACCTAACAATTACGTTTTTGAAACTAATAACGGACAAAATTAGTACTAAATTTAATGTGCGTTGACCTGCCAAGCTATGTAATATTGTACTAGTATTTCTCTAACTGTAGTAGAAACAGAAATTTCAAAAAAGGTAATCATTTAAGAAGATTTTAATTTTAGAAGTTGACACTATTCAACAGCGGCCCTTGTTTCAACTAAACCGTGTTTTTTGTTTTGTCATTGCTAAATTTCCATATGAATATGTATGTAATGCCAAGTAGAATAGAAAAATTAACCATTTCTTATGTAAGCTTTCATACAATACAATAAATATCCTGATTTGTTGTTACTGTAAAATAACATAACAAAATTAGTTATATGTTTGAACACGTAACGTTAGTATTTTTTCCTCCCGTTCACGTGTATAACTTTTTATTTATTATAAAATTGTTTTCAACATTATTGTTCGTTTGTGTCTGCAATAGTGGCATTTTGTATGAACGAATCAAAAACTAGTTAAAGAAAAGCAGAAGCAATTTACTGTATACTCCCTAACACTTTGGGTGTGTCGGGTTCGAACACACCCCACTCAGACTAATGTACAATTCTTTCTGTCACTAATATTCACAGTTTCCTTAGAGACGTATCTTGGTTTAACAAACACCTCCACTCATACTAACCTGCTCAATTCTTCTATGCTGTGAAGAAATTCGATTGCTTCAGAAGCATTCTGTATCCTCTTCACCATCTCTACTTGAAAAGACTCAGAACCAGGCTTGAGACTTTGGTAGATTTGCTGCAACCTCAGTAGACCTTGAAATGTAAGACAGAAACTATCAGAACAACCAGAGTTTGAACTATGGTTAGGCCTACATTTTGTAGTAAAATTTAAGGAAATTAAAATAATAAGCTATGACAACATTACTTTGCATAATTACTTGTGTTACAAATAAAAAAAAATATGTAGATTAAGATCCTAGTATAATTTTTGTGATTTAGATCTAAAATATGCAACAGTTTACAAAAATGTTCCCATTTACACTTACTTGTATTATGGGACTATTAGTGTATACAGAATAACATTATATTTCACAGCAGCTTTCTTCGTTCTTGATACAATAAATGAGAATGTCACTTTCCAATGTACTATGTTAAATCGATGTGTAACTATTTGTTAGTTTTATTGTATGACATTAAAAAGTAAAAAAATATCCATTGGGGCTGTAATTAGTCAATTCTGATGTGCATCATAACATCATCATCATCATAAATACATTATAATTATATCATCATCATAAATGCATAAGTTTAATTTATATTATAATAACGTCAATGTGTAACTGAAATAAATTAAATATTCATTTCGGTTCAGATAATGGGTTATATTATTTTAATATTAAAATTCATTGACCACTAGTTAATTAAGTTTATGTAAAATTTACAAATAGAAACAACATTTCAATATTAACAATATCCTAAACATTTTAAAACAGATTAGGTAAATACTAATAAAATTATTGATATACACGAACGAAATTAATTAAATTACGCCCATCATCCTTTTGTGAGTTTTCTCGTGTTTTCAGAAATAAAATGCGAAGCAAAAGGAATGCTAGCGTAAAACTGTTCTGGAGAGGGGAAAACGTTTTCATATTGCAAAACAGACAACCGAGAACGAAAAGAAACATTCAGAGTTCAATAATTATTGGAAATCCATCAATTCTGACTGAAGTTTTATCTCTGACCTACTAACAACTGATGAATGAGCTGTTTCCTGCTTAACATTTCCGGCCGTAGTTGAAAACTATGACATCGACTAGCATTTTGCTAAATCCTTAAAAGTACTTTGTTTGAAACTTGAAGCCTTTCAGACATTTTAAAGTCAAAATCGTTAGAGTTTCGAAACAGTGACTTCCATATCATAATGGACCAGCGACCAGCCCAAGCTAAGTTTTCAATCTCAAGAAATGAGCATTCAATAATGATTGATTCCATTTATGATTATTTTATATTTTAAATTTTCATATTATAATATATTGGGACGGGTTGTTGTGAGTTGTCTTCTTAATTTGAAACTAAAAAAAATGTAAAAATATGCAAACAGAAACAGTTTTTAATGTTAATATATGATAAGGGTAACCAAATCTATTTTTATATTTTAGATACTTTGGTTTCGAAACAAAAACTAATGTATTTATGAGAACATTTCCTCAATACTTAATTATATATATTTCGAGTAAGTTAAATCGTCTCTGTCGATTGATAAAACGTAAAGTGGGTTTACTAAAGAGTTTAACGAGCGATTTATTTAGCCTCTGACTCTAATTGGAGGACCTCGAGTACTTCAGTTTTTGACAGGAAAAATTTTATTTATTCATTATTTATTTCGTTTACCAGTGTTTTCTAATGCTGCTTTATACTATGTGTTTGTACTATGTGTTTATTATATGTTGCTTTACACTGTACTTGTTTTCTCGGAAAGTAAATTGAAAATAAATATTACCAATCTTGAAATAGATATTTACATTTGTACTGTAAACTAACAAGTCGGACATATACATATAAAATATGGATAAGTGGTGATCGATTTCAATTGGAACTCCAATATGCCTATTCACCTATTAGGTAAGATGAGGGTCGAAGTGTCCGATCAAAATCACCCCTTAACATTTGTGTTTAGACGTATTTATTGTTGACTTCCGGATATTAAACACCTCTGTTATTAAAAAAATGTCTCTGTTAAAAATAACAGAGTAAAATTCTACTACTCGACAATTCTTCCAGTACTACATTATGAATCGGAAAGATGGGCACTAACAAAAGAATAAGCATAGAAACTTATGATTTTGAAAATACGATTCTGATAAAAGTATATGGACCGATTTAAGATGGAAGAAGGCTGGAGAATCAGAAAAATAGAGAATGAGATATGTTTCACCATCCAAATGTTATAGCAAGGATAAAAAGCAGGAGACTGAGATAGGCATGAGATGTGTTAAAAAAAAGAGAATATGAATTGATAATAAAAGCTGAGGACCAGAACAACCCAAAACCAATGAATACAAAACGCAGAACACAACTCGGCAAGCCGACACTACGGTAGAAGAGTCAGGTGCTGAAGGATGTGTCTGTGATGGGCACTACAACACCTGAGGCAGCCGAGAAAAAAGAATGGTGGAGAGGCATCGTTGGCAAGGCCAAAATCTTCTAAAATTTCAATGGCTAAGGAGGTAAGGTAAGATATGGTATATTTAATTTACGTATCAAGTAGTCAAGTAGTTATTTAGGAATTTTTCAACACGTAAATAAAATAGATTGGTAGAATACAGTTTGTTCAAATATTTTATCTAAATATATTTTTACATTCGGGTATTTATTTTACTCATGAAAAAGAGTATTTATTTGCAATAGATAACATTTTTGTCCCTAGAAAAATATACTCAAAGGTATGGGTAAAGAACTCAAAGGTTGAATGTTATAATTATTTTTAAAACGAAAAAACAGAACATAGTTGTATTATTTGGTAAAATACCGTATATTTATAAAACCGTTTTCAAATTTATAATAAGTAGGCAAAATAACGTCACAATATCGTAAACTAGACTTATCTCTCAACTGCCAACCTGAGGATAAAATTATTTCCTCAAGCATTGATTCAATAAAGCAACGCCTCAAATTTTAACACAGCAGGGAAAAGTAAGTTTGCATTAGGTCTTTTAATTTTGACATATCTAAATGAAAATGAATACATTCACTCCTGGCGAGGGAATATTTTAGGGATAACCGAGAAAAATTGCAGCAGACACCTAACGAAGAGATATAAGCGGCCCCTGATGAAAAGTAGGGGTGATAAATTTAGTGGGTTCTGCGTGACGCCATAAGTCACTGCAAGATCCTGGCGGGAGGTCCTGGGAAAGGGGAGATGGCTTGCAGGTGTCTGCGATAAAATCAGCCTTGGAAACTGACTTAGAATCTTTGTGGAGCTAGGATTTAAAAGGGACATATCAGTAGATTTATCTAAATAGTATTTTAAACAATGGTAAATTGTGCATTCGTAACTAAACTCGCCAAGGACGATAACGAGTTAACATTTGGAAGCAGGGATTGCATTATGCAACCTTAACATCCTTTACATAAGTATCCGGCAGAATAAACCTCTATGTATATAAACTTAAATTCTGCATAATTTTAATAGATAAAATGGATTAAAAAGGGGTTAAAAACTATTTTAATTATGTTATCAGTATAAAATGAATCCAAACCATTAATAAACAAAACAAGGTATTTAATTGATAATATTAAACATCCAAAAACTATTTCATGTTTTCAGCATTGGAATGCGCGTTAATATGGTTCTGTGGATATAGTATACTGATCTTAACATTTCAGAGTTAAAGGTTATATTAATCTTGTAGATTTCGTTTAAGATTAACGATTGGAAAAAATTAAAAATATTTGGCATTTTAGAATTTTTACAATTTAGAGAGGAAAGTTTAAATTAAATTAAATTTTTACCATTTTGCTTAAATATAGTGATCCAAAGGCTACTACAACATGAAATTTCAAGAGACCCACATTCCCGCCAAGATAAAAAAATAAATACAGACCACTTTGCCGGTTTCAACCTGGTTCTTTTGCCAATGCAATATACTAAACCTACGCGAGAAATATTTTCAGACACAAATGGGAGTTTACATATGCAACAAAGACTATCTATAAACTTAGTCCTGTATAGTTATTTGTGCAACTAGTGAGAAAAGTGAGCAATGATTGCCGTACGCGAGTGAGGAATGATTTCTCGAGTGAGGCAATTGTACTTTGAACTCGAGTTGCACATTATACTTTTCCTACAGTTACCATAAAACAAATAAATTGGTGAAGAAACATAACCTATTTTTACACAGAAGTGAACTTTTAATATAACATTTAATGTGAAGTGACAAATACAAAAGTACAACAGCTGACCAGCTGATTTACAGCCAGTGCTGCCAACGTATTTCGCGCGCATACGACGTTGCCTGCACGCGCTCACTATTTCGTGCCTTCACGTTGAAAATCTGGACATTGTCTCACTGATGAGCGAATTGGCCACTTTGCTTTCTCAAATCAGTGAGAGAACATGTACATTGTTAGGTAACTGTAGGAAAAAGCATGAATTCACAAAACTACCATCAAAGTCAAAGTTCTTGGTACGCACTGAGTACCAAACTGTATTTCCCTTAGCAACTGTATTTACAAACTTCATTAGGAGTTTAAGTCAATCAGCGGTGCAAAGGACAACAAAACCAAGGGATGTCTGTGGTTCCTATCCTAGACCACTATGTGCCAATACAGTTCATTCTTGCACAGTTACTTTACATGTCCTACCCAAGGCTTTTGAGACCATTATGTCTAGACCTCTTTTTAAGAATTAAAATATATTTTTTATGTTAACTTACCGTCATGTGAGTCATACAAGTAGATAATCCTCTTCCACCCGTAGTATTTAACAGTATCGATAATTGCTTGATGATAGTCTGGCCTCATACTGATGGCGTAGTCCAGGAATCCCGAGGATGGGGAGAGCACCTGCACAAAAGGGGGAAACTAATTAAGAATGTTAGTGAAGGATACGGGTTTAGATTGTAAAATATGGTTAAAAAGTAATGAATAGTTACTCACGTTTGGGTAGCCTAAAGAGTTTTAAATGCTTATTACACGAGTTGCGTACAATACTTTACCTACGACCGTTAGTGTTTGATTTAAAGTGATTTTGTGAAGAACATAGTTGCAATGATACTTCAAAGAACCCAAATTTTAGGTTTTGAAATCCTATTAAATAATTTTTATAAAAGTTAATTGGTAGGATAATTAATATGTAGGATATTAAACAAATTTATATTTTTATAAAAAAGTACGTACTAGATCTAATTGAGAGGAATCACTTTGACTTTCTGACATACTTCGGTAAATAAATGAAATATAAGTTATTTGCAGGGTTCTTAACATATGTGACATTTTAGAAGAATAAAAAAAAATTATTCTTAGTATAACTGTAACAAACCATGGATAGTTCCTCAACCTAAGGGATATTATAAATAGAGCCACTTTATTATAATGGTAGTTGTTGGTGAATATTTAAATGTTGGTTTTATAATTGTGTTCCAACTGTATACCAAAACTATTGAACATTTTTAATCCGTATACGTAACAAAAATAAAACAAAATTAGAAAAAAGGTCTAAATCGCATGTTAAAACTTTTGTTCTCATAAGCTATATGTTACAGCTATGGAAACACACCCATAATAATATATTATCAAGTTAAATATAAACACTCAGAGCACTGTAACTGTAACCAACGTCAACAAGCCAGGATAGGGGCTGTCCAATGACAAAGGGCTGCTGATGGCTACAGTTTCAAAACCACCACGACCAACGCTATCTCTTAGTTCACTTTTATTTGCCATTGTCATTGTTTCTCAGTTCTTTGAAGTAGTGAAACAAGAGCATGCCTTTTAACGCACAATAAATCAGTGGGAATGACATTTACGAACACAGTTCCAGATAGAAGTCTTTGTACTTGAAATGATGTTATGAAAGTTATGTTTTAGGTAGGGCAGTTAACCAACAATAAAATAACAGTGCGGAGTACGTTTGAAAAGGGGATTATAAATTAAATCGTAAGCTAACGTTTTGAATTGGTCTAAAATATCATAATATGATCTTTAGAAGCCCATACACTACCTAACATATGTGTCAAGATACCCGTGACATCAAATCATCCTATTCATGCTATATTTTCACTATATTTCCAATAAGGTTTATGAGTAAATGGTCTTTTCCATATTATTTCAATTTGATCCAAGTTAAAGTTAATTTACATTGTTAGGTACTGAGCTGCTGAAAAATGCAACCAGGTTTTGATATTCATAATGATCATAAATAATATACTATAAAGTAGGCATTCATAAAATATTATCATCTTAAAAAAAGACAAACATAATTTTTATGTTTTTTTGATCATCCTACATATCAGCAGTCATAAGTGTCTCTAGGGAAAATTCTAGCTTAATTTCTTGTTAAAATTAATTTGTTCAATTTAAAAAAAAGTTTTATTGTGGGCGAATCAACTTCATTATAATACATAAATTGAACTGTTAAATAATCATTAGTAAATGTAAAGCCCACTAATTAGGAGTTAAAATATAGTAAAACTAAGTGACAAGTAAAACATTCATCATTTTGCCTTAAAACATATCAAACATATTAAAGAACTCTGTAGTGTTATCTGAATCCTGTAACTTTGTATTCTCTTACCTTCTCTGGAAACCAAGGAGTTACGAAGGGCATCTGAAACGTATTGCTGTAGGAGTGCAGAGTGTCGAAAGAGTCAGGACTGACAGCTCCTAGCATGGAGAACACTCCCCGAGAAAACTGGTTGCATACTGAAACAAACGTGAATCCGGTTATGAAATAATAAGTGAAAAACGAACACACTGTTTATCTAAAAGAAAATCGGTTGCAGACTACCAGACTACTAAGTCCAATAGTATACAACGGGGAGTACAAAATTAAGGGATGATTTTGCTCCGAACAAACCTTTGGGATGGTTGAAACCAATTGGGATAGGAGTGCAGGGGTAAAATGTTGGTGACACCAAACACCTTTCAAGGTTTTAGAGGGGCACGTATAAGGAAGATTCTGAACATCATTCCAATTCTAGGAGTTCTAGGAGACATGTCGACAGTGGAAAATTCTCTGACAGTGATATATTGACTCAGAAGGAAACTATTTCGAAGATGCTTAGTACGATGTACATAAATGTTAAATATATTTATTTTCCTGAAATATAATTAACCCACCCAGTTTGTTGTGGGGTATCTTACCTCTGTGTGGATCACTCCAGAAAGTATAACATTAAGACATAACAGAAAGAAAACCTTCGACTATAAACCTTTGGTACCATTGGATGTTACGTCTCAAGTTTGAGAAGTAAAGCTTAAGAATACAAAAAAGAACACGATCATTTACAGAGCCGTTCTGTTGTCAAATACAATTATTGTATTTCTTGCTCACCGACCTTTTAATCATTCCAATCTGGTGGAAAATAGTTTTAAACCGAGACATTTGTTGTAATCTCCATCAAATATCATAATATAAAAATTTGAAGGGGATAATCTTATTGCACTTAAAAGAGGCCTATTAAGCTAACGTTATTGTTTAAGAAAAAAAGTAAATAAAAACATATCTGGTTCACATTGACATACAAACTCAATGTCAAAATAAACTGAATCCTGGAGATGCTATAATGTAAAAAGCTGGATACAAAAAAAAAAACTTTGTAAGTATAAAAGATTTCCTATAAAATAAAACTTGTCTAAAGTTTAATCACAACAGGTACGTTTCTTGAAACACGACGCGAGTGTGGAAACTGGCAGCTATTGGTTAGGGGCTATTTATTGGTTATTGTTGGCAGCACTTTTTCATCTCATGAACCAGTAATTGAACCATTCATCAGCCTTATATTTATTTACATCTACGAAGCAATTTAACCTCTTTCCTTAGTAAACTAAGGACCTATTTCATTAAACTTTATTAGTTGCCTTGATAATGTTGAGATTTTTGTTTTATGTTTTGAAAAAGTGATACTACTGGTGAACTTCAATTACTTAAAGAAAAATATATCATTGATTTATGTTGTTCGATGAAACTTTGTTGGGTACTGTTTTATATATCCTAAAACATTGTCAGCAATACAATGTAAATTGCAAACAATTTAGTTACATATAGTGACAATTGTTAATAGTGTTGAAGACACTTAGAAACGAGCGAATCATAGAACAAATATTTCACTCGGCATTCGGTTTCAAGTTTTACTGAAAATGATATGGGAGGAGGGTCGAATGTGAAAGGAATGATGAAATGGAGATAAATATTTTTTTCTGTTTAAATCTTGAATATATACCGTAATAACATATTAAAGTTTTGTTAATATTATCCATTTTACAACGTCGTACCTTTATATTGGATGGACAAATGTAGGCATTTAGTGTAGCGAATAGTATAGCCATACAAAAGTAAGACAGCAATACACTTCATGTAATGTCAAATAGTGGAAAGAACATTACGTGTTACTGTACCACTAAAGTCAACGCAAACACGTTTCAGCTAAATAAAATTAAATGGTAGCAGACAAGAAAATAATAAAACAACCCAAATAAGTAAAATATCGGAAACAGAGATAAAAAGTTGCAGTATTGTAGATTGAAAACAATAAACATTGATTGAATTGGTGTAATGTGAGATTATCCCTTGGAGCGAAGCAGGAGCGGCTGTGAAGCCATTTAGCTTAGAACCGTTTCACTTTTTGATCCTTCGACTATTCGTGTATTCAATGGTATAAGATGAAACTTGACATAATTCTTGAATATATCTTTACACATATCCAAACGTAATTTCTTACCCAAACTGCATAGACTTGTGTCAAATAATTTAGATAAGTATGAATGCTAACTTCTTTGCAAGTTTATTCAATGCTGTTCACTTTGCTAAAACAATGTAAGATGTCTCATAATATCCAACCACATAGAATGTTTAGATATGTTTTTTTTTTATAGATGAAGTATACATAATCGAAAAGCCAATGATTATGCATGAGTATACATTCGTTTGTAAGTGGTTTGTTTTTAAACGCTCTGAAGAAAGGAATGACTTCAGCTACGTGGTAACCTAATAATAATTTTCATTCGATCTATTTTATTCTTGAGCAGGATAACTTAAAGCATAACTAACTAGAAGAACAACAATCACTTTGTTCGTCGCACATTTTTTGTCCTACACATTTGTAAAACTTTTTTATATAGATGGTGGTTTTGAATACATTTTAACCTTAAAATTGCCCACCAAAAAAGTCTTATGCTAATGCGTGTAAATATCTAGCAAAAAAAATTTACATGCAGTATTATAATGTCCTTTACTATGCTACCATCTGACCCCCCCCCCCAATTATGCTAAACCAAACTTGTGTTGACCAGCAATCTTTCTTATAAGCAAAATTTGCTCAGTAATATCTACATTGGCTCTCTACTGTGGAATAAAGAACATTTTCATTTATTTTGATATTGGTTTCTCAAAACAGATTAGCCTATACGAAACATCGGAGACCATTTGAATACAAAAATACCAAGTCCATTATTGATAAAATTTAGTCTCATGCCACATCAACAAAAAGTAGTTTAAATAATATTTATCGCCTTCTTTCTTCAACACATCACCATGCCAGTCAGACCTAAGTAAAAGCCTTAAAATATTTTGTGGAATCGTCCTTTAGGTTCTTGATCCTTGTATGTTAGCACACTTTATATATATGCTTTTCATTGTGATCGGTATACATACCATTTTTGTGAAACAATATAAAATGAAATTTAGTAAATATGAAGTTTTGAGTGCTTATTTACCTATAGTTTTACTTCAAAAAATCTGCTTTTATTAACATTTTTGTCCATGCAATATATCTTCCACATAGAGTTTTTTTTTTTTTTTTTTTTTTACTCAAAATAATAATTAAAGAAACAAAAACAAAAACTTCACTGTAAAATTACCAAGCAATCTAAAGTTATTGGAAAAAGGTATTTTATTAATTGATCACAACTTCTGAAGTTCACATCGGACTTTGGCTGATCAAATTACCGTAAATAGTGAACGACTTTTACGTCAAGTAGAACATAATGAAATTTCAACTACACGTGGTGTACTTACCTTTAACCTATTGAGACCAACATTATTGCTGTAATTGACGTAACTCGATCTCTCCTTTTTACAGAATTTATAGCTTGTAAATCGATTGCCCGTCGGTAGAGCACTTAGAACAAACTTAACATTTTACAGCTTTAGTTGGGCATTTTACTAAATACTTACAAATAATCGTGTACCTGAACACTTTCCTAGGTTAGGTTAGGTTAATGGTAATGTTGTTTAATGTATTGTTAATAGAAATATATAGTATTCGTCTCTGTGTATAATTTTAAGAAACTATATTACCTTATATGTTGAATATTATTTAACTTTGGTTGAAACTAGAAAAATAGGATTATTTTGTATTTTTTAACGATAATTTTAAGGTTCTTCTAATAAAACTATTTAAACATATGCTGCTACCTCACCCATTCAATTTAGTTTGCTATAATTATTTCTATGAAAAGAGATTTTAAAAGTTAGTTTTGCTTAAAATTAAGATAAAAAATGTAAAAAAAATTGATATAATTTAAATCATATCGTGGGGAACCCCCAAATAGATTAAATTAAATTTTCTACAGTTTAAACAATTGACTAATTTCAAGATTACTTTTGACGAAGAAGAATTGTTTGAATTTCTTTCCACTGTCTTCCTATTTCGTTATTAAAATTTATACTAGCCAAATACTTGTCATGGACATAAATAAATTATGTGAGCAAAAACATTTTCCATTACATAAACTTTTTATTTTCAAACAATCCATAACATGTTTGACTTAAGGAGCAAAATTAAAGTAATTTCCGAACTTGCGGTCAGCAGAAGAGAAAAAGCGTGGAAATTGGCGTCATGGGGGTAATGAGAGGGTGATTGGGTTTTGGTTCGATATCTGGTTGTCGACGTTTTAGGGCTTAACCTCGCCCCGTCGTGCAATAAATGGGTTTTACAAGCAATCACCAGTTTCTTTATAAAACATACAGCAGTGCGTTGCTTAATACTCTATTCTATAATTTTTATAGAGATTATGGTTTCTTCAAAAGATGGTATATTCATGTACTGTAGTGGAATTGATTAAGTGGATTTAAATTGTATTTATCACTTGTATGTATGTAACTATGACACACAGAAAATGTTCTAGATAATCCCTTAATCCAAGCCCTTATTCAGTAGATGAGTCTTAATTGTATAAAGTATTTCCCAAGAATATAAGCAAAATGAGAGAGTAAAACATAAAACATAAAAGGAGCAGACTTCTTTAAATGTTTACTTTTCAGAAATATGATAGAATTTTGTAAATTGAACAAAAAAGTTTGTGAATATGCTGAAAATTGAAACTAAACCTCTCGAAGCTAACCAAAAATATAGAAATCCATTCTTTTTACCTACAAAAATAAATCGACCAAATGTTATCCACCCCAAAACCCTGAGTACGATGCACACTTTTTGTTTATACCTAAAGTATATTTTGGAATGCTCTTATATTCTTTGAGTAATGCTAAATTTGTATCTACAATCTTTCCAGTCAGTAAATTCTGGATGAACAATAATAAATTTATCTTTTCCACACACTTGATAAAGAAATGATATATTATTAAAGCTATAGTAGTATAAATTATTTAATGTATGTAATACGTTAGTTTTGCCTATCATTCATAACTGACACAATCTAGTAATCTACACGACAAATCTAATGTTTATTTGATTAGTGGCATT